TTTTCACTCGCCAATTGCGAGGGGGGAAGTGGAAATTTTGAGCCCTGATTTAGTTGTTGCTGACAATTCATATAAGAGCTGCCTTTTTTCTCAGGTACCTCACTGCATCCCCCAAAAAATAAAAATCTAAAAACATTGTGCACCAAAAAAGGAATGAAACCTCCTGCCGTATCCATATATACCCAAAAAGTGTTTGGTGTTTTCTTAGCTAAAAGTATATAAAAGAAATATATTGATTTTATCAGTTACATCTACAATGGGCATTTGGTAGTCCTATCTGATCCAGGTCTGGTTGGTTTATTAAAAGTTAGTTTGAGTCACAAATATTCCCCCAGCCCTGATGTGGCTGATGTGGGTCTGTTAAAAAAGCAGCCTAGTCAAAGTGTTTACAGGAGAACTATGGGGTCAGGGCTTTTCCTCATAGTTCTCCTTAGGGTAACGGGAGGACACAAACTAGCATCCTCCCGTTACCCTAAGCTCAGTATACCGCGAGCTACAGCTCGCGGTATACTGAGACGCCGCAGCTGGAGCGGATCCCGACGTCGACATAGATGTCAAGATCCGCCAAACTGCGTGAGTGACAGCTGGCTCTGCCTATCTAGAGGCAGAGCCAGCTGTACCCTCCCCGTCCGATCTGCCAGTCAGCGCTGGCGGATCGGAGCGGGGAGGGGGGAATCCAGCCCCTCCCCTGTCACGGCAGAGAGCCGTGACAGGATCGAGAGGTGAGCGAACGCTGGTATATGTTCGCTCACCTCCCGATCTACTGAGCCGACCTGTGACAGTCTCATTGTCACAGGTCGGCTAGAACTTTGAGGTGAGTGTAAAGCACTCACCTCATAGTTCTACTTTTTAAAGACTGTACAAGTAATCACTACAATATTTCGATTTTTTTTTTTTCCCCCCCCAGCAAAGTGAACACAGATTTATGTTTATTTCTTGTTTAAAGAACACATACCCACTACAATATTTTGCAGGCATTTTTTTAGATCTTTTTGATCTTTATGAAGATCTGCTGATGTCCAGGTGTAAGCAAAATACTGTTTGTTTTTTTTTTAAAGTATTATTATTATTTTCCTGACACGTGATTGGGTATTCTTTGCAAAGTGAAATGTTACCACATTCACCAATCTAAGTACAAATCTCCTTGCAAAGTGGACAACCTATTTCTCTTTAGGAAATCAACCCCAAAGTGTTTAAATGGTGTGACCTAGTCACTACAATATTTTGGGGGCTTTTTTAACTAAATATACACTCTGATGTTGATTGGTGATGGGCCGAACAGGCCCGAGTTCAGTTCGAATTTGAACTTTAGAACATCCAAAAAGTTCGAATTTGAACTCGTACTCCAATGCAAGTCTATGGGGGTAGAACTTTTCAAAAACAATTGTCCCCTTTTAGAGGACCTATATGCAAGTTATTAAATCAATGAGAAAAAAAACATTACAAAAATACTTATTTTAAAGGAGCAGTGATCACTTAAAGGGTAACAATACAAAAGAAAAATTCCTTTAAATATCATGTCTGGGGGGTCCCCTTAACCTGTCTGTAAGTGGCACAGCTGTACGATGTATAGAACCTGCTGCAGCAAAACTGACATTTCTAAAGATAAAAATGACTTTTTTTTTTTTTTTTTTTTTTAAAGGGTACGTATC